CACACACACACACACACACAGAGAGAGAGAGAGAGAGAGAGAGAGAGAGAGAGAGAGAGAGAGTTATGAAAATCAAACTGAGGACCTTCAGTATGCCAGGCAAGTACACTATGACTGTGATTCCCCAATCCCCATGTTTAACTTCTTCCTGAAATCTAGCAGTGTCCGAGCTTTTCCTATTTTAGGCATTCCATAATCACCTGTGCCTAATATTGAAAACACATCTGGATATGATAGGCAAGACTCTGTCTTCAATTCACAATAAGTAATTCAGGAAAGGATAGGTTAATTTTTGATATTGCTATTTGGTTTTCTATTAGAAATGTTATAGAAAATAGTCTCTCCTTGTGGTTTAATAATACATTTCTGTACAGAGTAATACATTTATAAGCTTAGGCTAATGTCCTTGTCTCTAAAAATATATGACCTGTGGCACAAAATTCTGCTCTTTACAAACTTCTAAATGATACCCTAATTTTGTGTTTTGACTAATGTAAACACTGAGGATGATGGCATGCTATAATTCATCAGTGCCATTTAGCTTTGGGAAGAAAACAAGCAGGAAAACTTTGGAAAGTCTTTGTAGGTGTGTTAGCATGTAGATCAACTCTACTTCAACATGAAAAAAAAAACACATATGAAGGTATAAATTCTACAAAAATGTCATAATCATAAGGATAGGCAAAGTGAGTGATAAAGGAGAACACAAGGTCCATTACTCCAGAGGTAATATTCAAGATGATGCACAGATGACCCTGTGTTATCTTCAGATTATTGTAAATTGTGTTTTTTTGTTCACAATTTATTAAAGGTCAGAGCTAAGGAGAGGAGACCGGCAGACATGAAACACTCATAGGAAATCCATCAATGCAGATATTACTATAGATGTCCAAAGAATAGGCAAATAAACACTGAAATAGAAAGTCATTTCAGGCTAAGTCCCTGAGTATTATTGGACTTTCCCCAATGGAAAAAAAAAAAAAAAGCAAAGGCAAACAAAATTTGCCAAACATACTTCATCTTCAAGAAACTAGCCTTTTATAAAATTATCTTCTTTTATGAGACTATAATCGCATTCATTCTCTACATCACATCTAGTTTGCTCTAAGTCTCTAAGGAGTTTGTACAGGGTATGATCAACTTCTTAGATGCTTACTCCCGAGGACTGCCCAGTAGCCTGACACTATAAAAATTTGTCTGGCCTCAAGAGAGAGCAATTGGACTGTTCAGAAGCACTTTTAACAATGTGCACAGCCAGGAGGTGGTAGCATATGCCCTTAATCCCAATACTTGGGAGGCAGAAGTAGATGCAGAGGCAGAGGCAGAGGCAGAGGCAGAGGCAGGTGAATCTCTCAAGTTTGAGGCCAACCCGGTCTACAGAGTGAGTTCCAGTTCAGCCAGGGATACACAGTGAAACCCTTTCTCGAAAAACAAAATACAAGAAAAAGAAAAGAAAAAGGCTACTCAAAGATTTGTGGATTTCTCTATGTATGTATGTAAACACTCTTTAATTGGGTTAATTAAATGATTTGTTCTTATATGGGAGGGACAATGGAGTCCCTGAGTTTAGTAATGGACTGTTATGCTATGAGCTTACAAAGGAAGAATGAAGTCATGTACATTACACAGACCCTTCTTTCATATGTGTAGATTAAAAGATGCTTAGAACTTCTTTTCCAAAACCAAGATCAATAGTGAAACATAATCAAGGAAGCAGTAGAAGGAGGCAAATCTTAGATTCTGTACTGCCAGATAAGACTTTGAAGGGGCAGTTCTGGAAGTATTAGGACAGAGCAATACTAAGAGAAGATGGACATATCTCAAGGTGCCTGTGCCCAAGAAAGGTTAAAGTCAAATTTCTGTCTGCTACAAAGGTGTATGAGCCTCAAAGGCATGCCTCATTTAAAAATAAAATGGGTACCTCTTGCCACAAAATGAACACCAAGCAAGTTGTTTTTGAGAAGTATAGGGGAAAGACTGTAGTTATCAGTTCTGTCTTTATAAATAGCATCATTCATGTCCCTTGTGGGCTTGTTATGAAGCCTCCCCAAAATACACCTCTATATGTTTATTTCCCAAAGTTTTATGCTATACAATAAAATGCTAATTATTTGAGGGAAATTGAGAGATATTCTAGAATCAAATGTTTAATGAGCTATAGCAAGTTTGAAGTTCACTATATTCACAAAGCTATGCTTTTATTTCACAAGGAAATAATGTCAAGTTATGTCCCTAAATTATAAGTCTCATAAATTGGGCTTGTTGTGCTGTTGCCTTTAAAACCGTCATAGGTAGTTTCCTTATCTCTGTTCAGTTCTACCAAGGACAGAAGCATGCTCTATTCTCCTGATGCTCAGGTTCTCAGTCCTTTCAGCTAATTAAAATCCTTGGAAAATCTTTCTCAGCAGATGCTTCAGGTGACCCCATTCTGAGTGGACAATACTCAAGGGACTTAAAATAGCCACCTGGAATTCTCTCCTGCTACTCAGTGCATGAACAGTGTAGAAACATGGAGTGGTGTTCTCCCCTTTAGGGTACACATCTGAGTTCTTGTGCCCCATGACCTTACTGGTTTCAAATGGCCACCACACAATCTGCCACAAGAGATGTTCCACTGCTAAGAACAAATTGAAATCCAACTGCAGTTCCTGTCCTGAAACAGGGTGTAGAACTTTCCCTGCTACAATATATGTGCAATAGGCTCAAAGGCAGAGAGAACACAGTGTCCACATTCAAAGGTCCATGGTCACTCTTACTTCACTTTAATCTTCAGGCAAATCTGTAAGGAACTCAAGGCTGGGGCAGCCAGTTCTCTCACAATCTGCCTCCCCCTCCTGGCCCCATGAGTACTTTTATTTAAAGCTTACTTAATCTTTGCCCTGGTCTCTGCTAGTACTTTGTCTGAAGAAGCACTCTAGCCTTAGCTACCTTTATCAAGTATGGAAATGCCTTTCCAGTTTTCATATAACCAAAGCGAATGGAGCAAGCAGTTCAGACTACACCACAGTATAAGAGAGGCAAATAACATGCCTGAATTTGTTAGGCCTCCTAGGAAAAGACCCAATGCTTACCATTACAGTGTCCTACTGCTCAAACCTTCCTCCAGTGTCCTACAATCCCTCGTTTTCTGTCCCCAACTTATGAATGTCCATGCCCCCCTTTATTCCTGCCCACTCACCTTGCTCAAATGAACCTCAGTCTTTAACTTGTGGATTGTGAACAGAATGTGCCCCATCCTGGCTCTTTACCCAAAAGTCTCACTCCATCTTAAAAGTCAATTCTCCATAGGTTATTTCTCTGATGAAGACTTATTCTTATTCCCCAGTTTCCCAAACATTGAGATTTACTTCTTTCTATATAAACTTGGGTGTAATTAATAATCATTTGTCAGTCATTTTCAAAATATAGGGTTCCTGCTGGAGGCCTCCAGGAAGCATGGCAGGGGCAGCTTTGTCTGGTTTTGCTGCATTCCCTGTATAGTTGCCAGAAGCATGCCTTTCACCCAACCAACATTCAATAACAGAACAAACAACACTATATAATGTAACAGAGGTCTTTAAGCCCCCAACATATTTTAGAACTTTTTATGAGCAAAGAAGAAACTCAAAATCACTTATATATATGAACTGACTGGTTTCTGTGCCTTTGAAAGCATAAACAAGAGAGATGGAAGAGGAAAGGACACTTACCATGATTCCAGTAAGCAAGCAGACTCCTTTCCCACAGTATGTGTTAGGTACCATGTCACCATAACCAATGGAGAGAAAGGTTATTGATATCAACCACATTGCTCCAAGGAAGTTGCTAGTAACATCCTGTTGATCATGGTACCTGAAAGACAGCAAACAAAGCTAGTGTTTTATAATTAAACTCTAGTACAGCAGCTAAGGACAATTCAATTACTTTGATAACTTCTCTGTATCTTCAATAAATTATTCTCTTTAGATGTGCTGAGGGATTACAAATAAAAAAAGGTCAAGAACTTGCCTCAACTTAAAAAACAATACCTTAGAAAAATCATTTACAGTATGAAAACCAACATTCTCGCTGCCATACATTTACCTTTGTAGACAGTCTCGGCACTCTGTGATTCCCAGCTGATGTGCCCAACCTTTGTGACAATATACCCTCTCCTAATCTCATGCTATATCTGAAGTAAGAAGAGTCCCATTGTGTCCTGTCCTGGGACTACTACCTTTGTTCCTCATTGTTCTTCTCAATAAACTTGGGCCGAAGCATGTACACACTGTCCAGCACACTTGCATATGATAATCAGGCTGCACTGATTATCAGTGTTGGAAGAATATGCCGTGACTCATGTCTCTGCAGCTACAAGGCTGAGTGACCCTCTTTGGTCTCTATAGCACTCAAGCCTGAACTGTGGTCACCAACAGAATCCTTTGCTTTGTACCCACTCCCAATGGACCACATGTCCTTTCTCTTGGACATTAGTTGGGAGTCCTTTACTCTTCTCATTTCTTGTTGTGCTTTCTTATAAATAAAGAGAGGCCAAAGTCCTGGTTCCTGTTACTTGTACTAAACTAAGAAGTGACAGGCTAGTGTGATCAGAAACCCAGCTTAAGGAGTGAGGACAACTACTGTATTAACTTTAAAAAAAAGATTAAGTTACACACATTGGCTATGCCATGCCCAAGGAATGACCAATCTGTCCCAGCTATAGGTGCTCATTCCCAGGATATTCCAGGAGGCATTCCTAGCATTCTGTGGAGATCAATGGGTACATTTCCACTGTCCACCTTTGTGGCATAGTATATACAAGAGGTGAAAGAATGTGGCTAGTGCTGGGCTTAGCTGTAACATGAGCTAAACAGTCTCTACAGCCTTTTCTGTTTCAAAACATAAGTTAGATTCATGACATCAGGATACATTAGTGCATACTCCCTGCCATCATTCCTTGAGGTATATATTACTCCCCCACTGATGTGGGCTGGGCAGGAGGGCTTGGGGGACAGCTCATTTCCCATTCAAATTTTACTTGTGAAATGAAACTTCTTCTTGATCAAAGCTTGGGTTACTTAAGAGTATATACATCTAATCTCCCAAAGAAGTCCATGCATAAATACATTATATTTATTTTTTCTTAGTAGAGTCTCATCACTGCCCTCCCATTTAATATGTGATATTTTACATGTTAAAATATCAGATGATCACTAACAGAATTTACTATATTCTTAACTCTACTTATATTGACAGATGTATCCTAGAGAGTCTTGCTTTATAGTCTCAGACACATACTGAGTGAAATTTTCACTTTGAATGGCTTCCATATCACCATTGCAAGCACCAGAATGCTTCTCTGCTAGGCATGTGGTTTTCTCCTTTGACAGAGCAAAGAAGAGTTTTAGATTTCCTGGTACAATATGGGGTCTCTGGGAATGCCTAGGAGAAAAACTCAACCTCAGGGTGTCTGCTCTCCTTTAAGCACTTTTTATTCGGTTTTCAAGGTGTGGAGTGCTACATGACCACCAATGGGAACCCGAAGCATTCACTGAAAACGTCCAGCTTGCTCCTCTTCACTGTGCTCACCTTTGATCACAAAGCATCTTAATCATACAGCAAATCTTCCTTTTCTTCATCCCTGTGCCAGATACACTGATCCATGCCACTGCTCTGTCAGTGAATGTTTACAAAATGCTATGATCCTTCTACTGTGTCAGAGGCCATAAATCTACAGAAAGACCTGAGGAAGGCCTCGCTGGAAACCAGTATACTTCTAGAAGTTGGGAATTTTTAGCTTGTGATTCCATAAATTATCCTTTTTGATTATGAAATAAAACTGTCTGAAAACAGCTCAAAATGGAAAAAAAAAGCTCTCATACTAATGTTTATGTTACATTTAGACAGGCTTAGTTGTGAATAGTCAAAGTGAGATAATTAAGGACCAAATTAGATACTATTAGAATAATCACCTGATTTCTTTCCTAACAACTCAAACCCAAATATTATATTAGACTCATCAACACAGTGACACTATCGCTTTGAACATCCTCAGGTTTTGGATCAATGCCAGAGTCACACAGCCATGAATGATTAATGCATATAATTTAAGACTATAGAGGTATGTAAAATTTCCTTATAGAAGTTCACTTCACAGACTAGTCAGATAAGTCGTCTTTTTCACAAGAAAAACTGTCTGACAAAGGCACGGAGAAACTGCTCACGTGGTAGATACACTCTCTGATCTATAGGAGGGCCAATTTAATAAAAGAAACACTAAATAATAGTAACAAGGTGGGAGAAATGCCTCATGGTGTCAAGCATTTAAAATAAGGACACCAGGGGTTCCAGTGAAAGACACTTGCATTGCTTTCTGTGGACCCAGCACTCTCAGCTTTGTAGAGTTATATAGCTCTACCGTCTTAAACGAGATTCAGCCTTTTAGTTTCTATGCTTTATTCATCTCTTCACTCACTGCCGACTGTGTTGAGCACTGTTTAACAGACATGACAGCTTGATTTTAAACTGAGGATTTGTTCAAGTTCACAGGGGTTACCTTTACTAAGGATAAGGCTGGCCCAGCCCAGCACTCTCACTGCCCCTCAGCACAGCATGGCAAAGGCTAGCACATATGCTTTCTCTTTCATAGTGTTCTTTCTCCAAACCATGCACAGGTCAGTATGGTTCTCTTGGTTTGTCCTGATTCTCTCAGCATTCTGCATATACCTCTAACACCATTCATGTGGGTCACAAGACATGCAATATATAATGTGCTCATCCACCCTGCCTTTAAAATCAAAATAATGATGAATTTGAAGACTAACACTGGGATTTTTTATTTTTTGATTCTGCCCTGATGCCCAGTTCAGAGGACAACTGGTGCTCATTCACTAATGTGGCAATGTCATTTTTTTTTCTCAGTCTGAGTTTCCTTGGGCCATGTGCTAGGCTCTCATAGTCACACACAGATTCAACAGAGAGAAATGATTCTTGCTTATCAGTCAACATGAGCTGTATTTGTCATGTTATATCCCAAGGTTAATGCACAGCTTATTTTGATAACAGCAAAAGTTATTCCATCGTGGATGTTTAATAGCCGACAAACTATTTTCATGAATGCTTCTCTATTAAGCATTTTATTAATATTAGGAATGACAAAAGCATTTCAAGTCTGATCTCAAATTTCAGACTTGGTTATATAATGAAAAGCATTGCAGAGATTAAATGCATGTGATCAATATATCATCATTTCTTTCCTAAAACCACTTCTTTCCTGAAATAAAACTGTAACTATGGCAACACAATAAGAGGATGTAAACTTAGTGCAACCAAGGAAAAGTAAAGGAGGCATCAGAGAGGAGGAATAAACATTTTTATGAATGAAATGTATCCTGTTTCCAACTATAAAGAGCAATTGGTTATTACCTTTATACTTTATCATAAAACTTCAAAAAATCTGATAAAATTTGTAATCATCAGTAACCACATCAAGAACAGACAAAGATTCTGGAGATATGTTGGACAACTAAAGTAGAACCACATACTGTGCCATTTTAATATCCAAAGAGAATCTACAGAATAAAGAGCAGAGAAGGAGAACAGGCACAGCTCCGAGGCCTCCCTGAATTGAAGGGCACTCTAAGGAGGTTAAGGTATTAAGGGGCTTAAAACCAAAGAAGGGAGATCTGTAGGGAGAGATTCAGGAGCTCTGCAGAGAGTCTCCTTGATTCTCCCAGCAAGTGGTACAGTACCTTCAAGTAAAACCATTTGATGCTGAAGAAGCGGAAGCCCTGTATGGACATTGATGGAGAGTCATCAATCAAAGACAGACTGCGGGAAATGACAGGATAGTAAGTGGAGACAAAACTGTTAATTTAGACAAGATAGACTTAAGCTTATGGGCATGCTACATTCCACAAAAGAAGCATCACAGTAACAAACCAAAGAACAACCCAATAAAAAACACAAGAAGAAATAAAACACCTACTCCAAAGAGGATAGAATTAGAGGGTGGGGAACAAACAGCAGATGAGATAAATTGAGCACACAGAGCTCTAAGCACATTTACCCAGCTATATCCCCAATCACATTAAATATAAAGGGCCCAGCTATCTCCAGTTACACAGATATCAGCCACACAAGGAATGGGTAAGTTACAAAACTGATGGACTGATAGGGAGTGATGGATCTGTGGGGAGATTCTCTCCCTTGGTCCTTCCACACAACTCACGGAATGAGAAAGCTCATTCTTTAGGTAAAGGTTAGAGAAGCAGGGACTTGGGGTCCAGAGAGGGGCAGAAGAAATGTTTAGAGCTGGGAAAGTTTAGGGTTTTCAATGAATCAGTACTATATACTTCTACTTTCCTCTACTCCCTATCACTGACCCCAGTTTAAGAGCTTGCTAATGGAAAGGATTTTTTTTTTAAATTGAAAAATGGATCACCTTCAAAGTAAAGATAATGTATTCACACTAAGAAATTGAGGACCCCCCCCTCATAAAACATCAGCTTTCACCTGTTGCCAAGTCTTACTGGATAAATATCCTTTCCCCCGAAACAGAGCTTCCAACTGGCTTCCAAATGCCCCTCTCAAATATAAACGAATAACAGTTACCACACATCTTATGCTTTCTGAAGGGCAGATAAAATAGAGGAAGTGAAAAGAGAGAGCAGAAGAGGGAACTAGAGATAGTGAAGAGAGAGGTGGAGTGCCTTAGCTTTGTAAGCTACATCATGGCTCTGAGGGAACATTACAACCATACAACTCAAATTACAATGTAATCACAGCAGTACCATCATTGCAATGCAAACCGAAACAAATCACCTAGAAATTAGAACATAAAGAGGGAAAAAGTACAAGAAACAAAGCAAAAA